AAAGAAAGTCGTGTTAGTTACACAATTTATAACTCAAGAACGGCTTTACCGATATGGCTGAAAATTGGTGAAGAGGTAGCTTAGAGCCAGGAGACGGACATAAGATACTATTTATTCATTTCTTTTTTTGCCTTGAAGAGCTGCTTTTTATTTAACTTACTAATATTATAAATGCGAATGTTTAGATGGATGTGATGTGGATGGATGGATGGGTGATAATTAAGTTGTTTATATATCCACGCGCACGGAGTCGCGGGCGACAGCTAGTTTATAATAAAAATAAATGGCGCATTAATTATTAAATTAAGTAATAAGAATAACTTACGCGTATGCTTTATTTACCTGCGCTCTCGCTCCCGGTCGCTGTAGTAGTCGGTGTCTTCGGTGTCGTAGCGGCGGCCACGCGCGCTGCGTCGCTGCCGAGGGGCCTCTGGGCTCCCGTCCCGTTCGAGCCTGTCGCGCTCCTTCCCTTCCCGGTCCCTGTCTCTCCTGTCCTTTTCGGATCTTCGGCCGTCCCTTCCCGATCTTCTACCAGGATCTCTGTCATATTTTCTATCGCCCCTTGAATATCTGCCATCTTTATCCCTTTCCCTGTCTCGGTCGCGATCTCTCGAAGACTTCTGTTTTTCTCTGTCCCTTCTCGGAGACGACTTGAAGGTTCTGTCGCGGTCGGAGTCTTCTCCGGACGTATTGACGCGGTTAACGGACTGCCTGCGCGACCCGTTTGCGGGATACTCGACAGACTCTGAGGCGTCGTTTGCCAACTCGGTTACGTTGCCACTGACTACATCGAACATCTGCTCCCTTGAGAATGTCATTTCCGCTCCAGATATGACACTCAAGTCCTGCAAGTTTTCCCCCTCCATAGTGAGCTCGCGCTCGCGCTGCTCATCTCCAGGTGCTGCCACGAACTCTACGGATGAGTCGTTGGTTACTTCCCTTAGTCCTATAACATTCCTGGTTGGGTTTCGCACAGCAGTTTCTGTATAATCTGAGCCGTCGACATTCTGCTCTCTGACCTCCGGTGGGCCCGCCTCTACATGCAGAGGATAGTCGTGATCGACTCCCGTAACAACCCTAGGTTCATTGGAACCACCATAATTGCCGGCCTGATATTGCATATATTCATTGTTACTGGGCTCTCCAGGAACCATCCTATCTAAGCCTATTGGTCTTCTATCGGATCCCCTGTTTGGTGGCGCCTGTGAATAATTATCAGGGGTTTGCTGCCCATCAGCCTGCCTGAATGGACGACCACCGTTATCAGTGATTTGACCATCGACATGGCGTTCCAAGTAGTTGTCGTTAGATTGATTATACCCGTCAGATTCTGTTTGTTGACCGGGAACCATTCGCGCTAGTCCTGGAGGCGGTTCATCACCAGAAATATTTAAATTTTGGCCGTATTCTGTTTCTTGCTGACCCACTACCATTCTTCTTAAGCCAGGAGGTGGAACGTTTTGGGTAAAATCTGTATTTTCACCAAAGTCAACACTGGACAAGTGTTCTGTTTGTAAATATTCATTTCTATCGCGTTGTGGAGCAACTTCCATATTGTCAGGGATCTGCTGAGATACGGGAAGTGGTGCAAAGCTTGCTGCTTGCGGTTGATCTGGTCTTTCTGAATTATCGGGTGTTGTCTCTAAATTAGCTCCAAATCCAATTGGCATTCTATTGCCCTGGGAAATCTTGCTCACAACTGAAGGTGATGTTAAATTTGTATTGGCCATTTGCGGTGGGAATGGCTGGGAAGGTATATTTGAATGGTTTTTAGATATGTTTCTGTGGGAAAAGGGTCCTGCATGTTTGAATGGGTTCTGCGATGCAGATGGCGGAGGAAATGAAGTTGGTGGAGGCAATGTTCCCGAGGGTATTGGTGCAGGTTGATTGGTTGCAGCAGAAACAGGTGGTGGAGGAGGCATAGATGATGAAAGCGGTTGAGCCAGCTCAACGGGTGAAGTGGATGGTGGTGGCTGTACAGGTGGTGGTAAACTATCATGCAATGTGTGTTCAAAGTCATTATCAGGTGCTGGAGTATTATCAGTATTAGATATACTCATGTCTTGCAAGGAACTTGACAATTCATCATGACTTTCCCTTCTGCTGCTATTACTTTTGTGACTGTCAACTTTAGTTGAATCGTCATTAGAATGATTTGACCACTCTGTGCCCTGAGTGTACATCTCCTCTATGCCAGATTGAGTGTAATTAAAGTTTGAATTGTCAGTGTTCAGGCCGGGACTACTCTTGCTTGAATTCCTAGATTGATTTTCACTTCTAAAAGTTCCTTCAGATTGTGTATGAGGTCCATCACTTGATTCCTGTGACATTTGGGACTCTATTGACCACTGGGGTGTTAAGTTTTCAAGATGAAAACGTTTACCGAGGGCCAAATTAGGCAGTTGTTCTTTCACAACATCTTTGTCACTCAAGGTCTTGACTTCAGATGAACTATGTTCAGGCTGGCTAGGATGGTTTACATTGCTCTGTATGTTAGATTCATGTTGGGAGCTAAGCTGTGGTTTACTACCAGTAGGCTGCTGAGCTAGTTCTTTATTTGCTTGGGTTGAAGTACTGGACTGTTCTTGAGGCTCTTTTTTCTCCTCCATAGCCCAATTCCAAGTGTTTGTTGATGCAAAACTTTCTTCTATAACATTTGCATTGGGACAGGCTTGTGCTTGGGAAGTATTCAATTGTTGGGCAATCTGATTAGTAACAGGTTTTTGTTTACTTGAATCTTCCCAGCCCCAGTCCCAATTATCTTCCCAACCATCATTATTCACCTTATTTTGTGGGTAGCTTTGTTGAGGCATACTTTGATTAGGATAATAATTTTGTGGATATGCCTGCTGAGTGCTATTATAGTTTTGATTAGAAAAGTTCTGATTGTATTGTGTTGGCTGTTGATAATACTGATTGGCATTGTTACCATAACTCTGCTGTGGATACATTTGCCCGTATTGCTGATTGTATGCCGGCTGGGTCTGCTGCTGCTGCTGCTGCTGCCAATATTGTTGCTGATGTTGTGCTATGTTAGATGGGGTACCCTGATAGTTAGGGTACATGTTTTGTTGATTTCCATAAGGCTGAAATACACAAATGGACATGTTAAGTTAGAATACAACTCAACTTTCACTTTATTTAAATTATCGTGACATTAGAACAACAGGAATTACACTAATAAGCAATAAAATTGCGCATAAATAAGCCCTAAGAAACAAAAACAATGTTTATCAATCATATGATTGAACGGGTGTTCGGTTGTAGGTCCACGTCACTGTTTACGTCAGTGGCGGGTGATGAATGTCAATGCGCGAGGGACAACATAACCTGCTCACCTGGGGCGCGCCGTACTGCGACTGGTCTGCGGCGGGCGGCGGCACGCCGCCCTGCCCCCGCTTCATCCACGACATTTCACGCTACCGCTGCTTACGTAACATTCGCAAAATATTCACGCACATATGCTCCTAGCTGCACAAACAGCCTCGTCACTATCATAGAACAAACGATGCAATACTTTCACTATCACTTGTTAATTATTCTTATCGCAAATTTTATCGACAATAATATGGTTTAGAAATTTTATCTTAAATGAGCCAAATTAAATTATTATGGTAATTTTTAGTTTTATTTTTTATATATTTCAGTGAGAATTTGTTGACAACAACCCATCGATCGAAGGTGCCTCGTTGGCAGTGTAGCCATGTCAACTTTGATTTGACGTTTCCGATTCAATCTTTTTATGAATTTATTTTTCCGATTCCCTTTAAGATTTCAATACATAAACAAATTATTTCAAAGGAATGTTAATTTAATTTAGCGCTTTTTCACACACTAAAGTTAAATACATATATTTAGATCCATGAGATAAAAGTCAAAGAAACTAAAGAATCTTGAAACTCTTTACACACGATGCTTTTGCGTCGCCGATAACGAATAATTTTTAAAAATCTTATGTCTGTCTGTCTGTTCACAAGGCCTCATTTTTTCCGGGTAATCTCTGGGACGGCTGAACGGAATTTTGACGGGACTTTGACGGAATGGTAGCTTATGCCATATGCTGATGGGAATATTATAGGCTACTTTTTTTAATTCTGTATTGACGAAGTCAAGAGTATATTGACATATTTTAAATAATTTAATATAAGTTACTGATCTCTATGAATGGTTAAACAGGGTTAAACCTTGGAAATTACAGCTTTTCTTTGCTCCTACCTCTGAGGTTCTGGCTTACACTTGAATGTATGATGATGTTCCTGACAGTTTACTCCAAGTTTACTCTGACAAGAATATAAATGGATAGGTGATTGCTAGGTAATGAGAGCTTTTGCATCGTTCCGATTTAACCACGCCTGGATGTTACGTGACACTTAATTCTATCTATATTATTCTAATCCACACCACCGCAACAAACCAACAAACCCCTAATATCAACGGTAAAACGGCGAAAATACTACGTTTGTGATCAGTGGTCAAGAACATCAACAGGCGCGTTTAAGTTGGAACGAAGAAAAGCTGTCATTTTAAACCCTTTTTTTTTTTTTTATAGTCAGGAAATGCATTTACGCACGCCTACGCCGGGCGGTGCAATGGCGTAGGGAGTGTGGGACTCGCCGGCCACAGAAGGTGACCAGAATACCCACTAAAACCTGACTGCCCTCTGACGCATCGGGACGGGGCCACGGGCACGCTTTCGCTCTCGTCCGCGGCCCCGTCATTTTAAACCCTATCCACATTTTTTTTTACTCTTTGCCTATCCATATATAGAGATCGCTTAGGCAGTGGTCAGGTGAATAAAAAAAAACAATTTTTACAACAACAATTTAACAATTTTTTATATTTATGACTATTTTTTTGCTATATCTACTTGACGAGTGACATGACATTTTATATTCAATTATTACATTATTTTGCATTCTTGTAACTCTTTTTACATTTATCAATTTATACTTTAATAATTATTGTTATTTATATTATTTATGTAATATTATCAAGTTAGGATTTTTCAGTAAGGAAATGGAATTCTTTGGCTATACAATGTGTGGTCCACAAAATTATATGAAAGACATATTGAAAAAAGACTATCTTGAACCAATGACGGAAATTGAAGTTAAAGAGATATTCATAAAGCGTGTAATACTTTTTCTATTTATTAATACTACTATACTGTTTCTATGGTGACTATATTTCTAGGGTATTGCCGTATATCGCGTTACTTTTTATTACAACAATCTAAAATGATTTCGACTTTGTAGCAATTTGGATTTTCCTTTTAAATGATTTGTTTTTATTGTAATACTGTTGCAGTCAATGATACTCAGCGATACAGACAGTTCGCGCGGATTAAATGGTTTCGCGTACGGTTCATTTGAACGATTTTTGGACATGAAAAAAAAGGGTATGGTCAAACCCTTTGGTCCTTGTGATATGTACAGATTTCCTCCTACGTCCAGCCATGAGGTATGTTTTGCCTTTATATCTTAATTCTTAGTACCTTATATTAAAAATGCGAATGTTTGGATTTATGGAGCTTTGATTGAAGGTATCACCAGAACGGTTCAACGGATCTCGATGATATTTGTCATAGATGTAAATGATTGGCTACCAGCCTATGTGTTCTTCCTGACTATTATATTTTATATTATTTTTATGATAAAGCAAGTTTGAAGGATGTCTTTTTATTTTCAAGTTTGGATGGTGGCATTATGACGACACATTACTTTCTGGGGACACTTGGTATCAAGTAGTACCAAGATATCCACAGCCTGTTTCTCCGAATTCTTTAATCCTTGATAAAGTCCGAAAAAACAATAAATATGCAACACTATTCTAGAGACTAAACTATTTATTATTGTGGCTACAAAAACAGGACGAACATGCGAAAAGTGATTTTTGTACATTTTACATATATTAAATAAATAAGACTGGTTTTGTTGTAATAGTTTTAATTTTTATCATTCTCAATCCATACTTTAGCATTGAAATGTTTGCAAATAAATAGGTCTCTTTGATGACGATTTTAAAACATGGATAATCGTGTGTGTTTCATATGACGACCTTAACATTTCTTAATAGTCAAAAACACCAAAAAAATCCAGGTCTATGTAATTCCTAGCCGCAATGCTATCTGAACCGGTGGGTAGAAGTTAAACTAAATTATGACAGAACACTATAGCGCTCCCCTCTCAACGTCAAAAAAGTCACAAGATCCTCTTTGTATGGTAGCTGTCATGTCACTTTTTGTAAGATTTCAATGTCTCAGTAGGTTTTATATTCTGTCAAAAACTCCATATTTTATATACTCTTTGGAACCAACAACGATAGCAGCGCCTCTTTTATCCTTATTTCTTATTCTGATAAAAAAAAGCAGCAAAGAGTATATAAAATATATATGAGTATATGAAAAGCAGCGTCAGAAAAAGGTATGTTAGATACTCTTTGTAGGTACCCATAAATGTCGTTGAGCCGCTGCTCTTTGGTCGCCGACTTGACATTTGCAATGCCAAACAAATTGGCATGGCGTTCTTGTTGTCATCTTGTAAAAAAAAATTGGCGATTTCATCCAATATTTCACAATTTTCTCATTATATTCGATTTTGGTAAAATTAGATTAAGTAACACAAACCTAATTGAGAAATTAAAGGGACATGGCTACTAAAAGATCAAACCCTTTTGTCGAAGACTTCATGCCCCAAAGCAAGGTGCATCTAGGTCTGAAACAGTTCAATAACAATGAAGAAAGACTTCAAAAAGTGTATGGTAAACATCCTTAGTAAATTTACTTTCTACCTTATGGAAGTCTGAACCCGTATATTTCAAATTAATATTTTTATGTGTCGGTGCCTAAAATACCGACGCTGTTTTTGTCGATCATCGATAAACTTTTATGCTTATTAAAGACCCCACTTGTTTAATAGTACGTTAAAAGTTGACAGATTAGTTTTTACAAGTAAGAATTTTTAACCATTTCCTTGTGGGTAGTTGAGTCATTTGCCATTTTTTATCAACTGCTTTTTAGAAAAGACCTTAGAACTTCTATTTCGAGGAGCCAAAAAGTCATGTCAAGATATCATACAGAATGAAGAAAACAGTACAACATATAAAAAAGATGGTATGAAGCAACTTGTCATTGGGAAAGGGGGTTTCCTTGTAACTTCTGAGCACAAGGTAAGCTGTTCAACATTAATCAATTCTATGCTTTTAAGTCAAAGAAATTTTGTGATATCTGTCATTTGTCTATTATTACCAGATTGAAGACAAGCCTTTGTATGTGCGGCGCTGCAGCTGTGGTGTGTGTGAGGAGGCGACCTGCAAGTACTGTGAGAGGTCACTGTGCCCCTCCTGCCAGCACTACTGCTGCCGCTGCCACTGCTACCATTGTTCTAAATGCTCTCTGATTGGGTAACACATCTGTTTCTTATTAAATAGAAATGGTATTTAATTCAAGCAGCTTCATGGAATAAATAAACTCATTGTAAAATGTTTGTCAGTGTGAGGCAAAACAAAGACAAGGAGCACTCTTTTATTTAGATTATTCAAACATATGACACTATGAGAATCTATCTCTTTGTTATGTTTCTCAAGTACAGTAATTTGAAGGATGTGTGCTCATCATTGCTAAATTAACCTTTTAAATTTTGTTTCAGATCTGAAGGAGATGATATTTGTGTCTCATGTTATGGTTAAAATATTTTTAAGATTGACTTTATTTTCAGTTATGTTAAATAAAAAATAATTGAAATTCCAACATTGACATCCGGCTTAACAAAAAGGAAAGTAATAAGCAGTGTTTATATTTAAATGACAAAGTAAAGCTGCAGTGTTCAATATTAGCAATAATTATTTATTTAACAATTAAGAGTATCATGATTTAAGGCAAATGTATATTGCTATTGTTTGTTAAATATTTGTAAGGCTCAGAGCCATCTGCAGATGATTGCCTTAGCATGGGAGGTATAGAAATGAAACAACATTTCAGTACATGTAGTTTATATAAAATATGTCAAAAATAAAACAACATAAAATGTGATCTACATCTTTTATAAAAAACGTTTGACTCATTAAACTAAATGGAATTGATCACAACACTGTTCTGTTTAAAAACACCCAAATAAAAGTAGAACAAAATGCACAAACACAACTTTAAAGGTTATCTTAATACAATGTTTGAAATAAAATAATAGCACTTGTTATGTTATTAGGAATGTGTTTACAAAATATGTTTCATTAAATTTACTTACAATGATTCACGGACAAAGTTAACCAAATATAAATTTATACTTTTGTGCAATAATTGTATTATCATAAAAGGTGAAGTGACGCAGCTGCTGAGGAAGCACCAACACCACCACCACCACCACCCGCCCCACATATGGAAGTGTTGGAGAAGCGCTCAAGTAAATAAACAAATTCCCAAACATACAGCATCATTATTTCAATTATTTCCCCTAACATATGAAAGATATCTTACATTCTAGTAAGGAACAAAGTTTAAAACCATATTAGCACATTTCCATAGCTTATTATATTTATTCAATGAACAAATGAAACATAGAAAAATAATTATAAACAAAATCTTTGAGAATTCACTTTATGAAGCTGTATGAAATACTTAAGGTCTTTAAATATTCATGTGTTGCCAGAAAATCTCACAAATATGATGGATGGATGTTTGTTTGTCCTCAACGGCTGCTTGGATCTTGCTGAAATCTGGCATAGTCTGGATAAACACATAAGGTACTGGATATTTTGGTAAATTTCGGAAGTTTTCTATGTTTTTTTCATTCGCTTTTTACACATTATTCTTAACTTAAAATACACTAGTGACGAAATATTTTACGTCAGTTTTCGGTCACAGGAGTTATTGGCATAAAGTACAGAAAGTAGGTACAGACCGTAAATGTACAATATTACGGCGACGTGTAAATAATTGTTACTCCACTTTGCGATGTAAACATTCCAAAAATACAAGCAAACTGTCCGGGCAGGGGACATCACTGACTACCCTCTCCTTGTAGGGAAGTCTTTTGAACGTGTACTCAACATTAAATTAGTGTAGCATGAATAAGCATACAATTTAATAAGTATGTATACAAAATATGCAACTTGTTACAATTTGAATTAAAGTGTGTTTTAACTCACTCAGGGCGCAGCCTTTTTGTTACAAAAAACAACGTCTATTAGTTACTAGTTAGTAACATAAATAATGGTAGGTACTGTACTAAAAGGCTAAAATCGAGTGAGGTATATTTCTTGGCAAATCTCTTAAGCTAAAGGCCCTGCCGCGCCCCTCTCACATCTTGTATTGAGGAAAGTATCTTTCTTGCGCTGTGTTCCGTTTTTTTATACGGAAAAGGCACTAACCGCTGCTTCTCGCCTTCTCGACGATGAGGATATACATTCCTAAATGATACTAGCGAATACATACCATATCGTACCACCACCCCCCAGCGTTTACATACTACACGTTTCTCTAGTTATCCATTTCACTGTTAAACGTGGAGTTTGTACCCAATGTCTAATGTGATATATTTAGCGTTACTTCAGTAATGTTAACGATTACTACCATTTCTATTGATCTTGTACCCCGCGAACTTGTTCCCGCACAGTTACGAGAACTCAGCCATAAATGTTAGATAAACACGTGGTGTTGCTAGTGGAGCGAGTTGGGAGTGCGGCGCGCGGGGCGTGGTGTGCGGGGTGCGGGGCGCGGGGCACTAGCCGAACAGGTAGCGGTAGAGCAGCGTGGCGGCCAGCGCCAGCGCCAGCGGCACCACCCACGAGCTCCACGCGCTGTAACACACACACACGCACGCGCTGCATTACATTGCACAACCCTCCACTCCATACATCCCACACAACACGCTGAATTAATCTTTTTTAAATAAAACTGAACGAACGATTTTTATAAATAATATATTATGAAAGTAACATTTGAAACAAATCTCGGAGCGATTGTTTTTTACCGATATTTTGACGGTTCTTAACTTTGTGTGAGTCGTTGCGCAGAAAACAGTGTTGGGTGTAGGGGGGCAAAGAGGGATGCGGGGGGAGGGCACTGCGCCGATGACCTTGGACCGCCAAGATATTTAACCCTTAATTGCATCTTGTTGCCAAATGTATACATACCACGTTTCAAGTTATTTTATTGAAGTCGTGTGGTATGTATGAACGCACTTTGACGACCATGGATAATAAATATATTGAGTGTCAAAAAATAAATTATGCAAGTTTCGGCGGCAAATCTATTTTTTTTTGACATTTCTATTTGACGGTCGACTAAGTTTATAGAGTTATAAGAAGCGTCTCCGTAATTTTGTATTCATTAATACCATGCATTTAAGGGTTAAGAAGCTGATACGATAGGTTTTTCTTTAGCAAATGATTACGCGATACAATGTATTGGAAGGAAAATGATGGAGCACTGAGGTGGGGCGCACTAATGAACTGACTTCCATAACATCTATGTATATATCATATCATATGATATATACATTGTTAAAGTGCAAGGTTTGAGACAATGTTGCTTGTAACGAACGGTCGCAACAAAAAAAACTTCAAGGAAAGCAATTTATTTAACGATGGAGTGATGTTTACTGCAAGTCGTCGCTGAAGGTTGCAAAGTAAAGTGGATGAAGAAAACAAGAATGTTTATGTGTTCTATATGTAATTTATTTATACAAAACGTTACAATAACAAGACAAGTATATATGTACCGACAGAGCGCTCGCCTCGCTACACTTTATGTACGCAGTTATTTATTACATAGCAGCTTATGACATTCCAACAAATAACTTTCTAGATGTAGCATTTCTCAGGCCTACATTACAACTGCTAACGCTAACTAGGAAAGCCTTCAACAATACCTACATTTTCAAACTTCAAGCTTCGTAAAGTGTACCGTAATTTGTGTGTGCGCAGTTGTATGTTAATAGAACAACATACTGCTAATATATTGTTGTGAAATTATGTTGTAGCAGATCTATATAATCACTATTATGCTTATACACTAATTTAATGGATTAAAATAAACGCGTAAAAATATAGAAAATGATGTAATATGCGTGTGAAACGGAATGAAGTTTCTAGTTATGTCTATGTGTACGATTTAGGTAACTTGACATTTATAATGCTTTGGTTTACTCTAACTTTGTATATATATATAAAAACTATAGGAAGCAATTATTTTAAAGTAAATTTATTTTAAATATCACAATAGCAAACATTTTTCTGAATATTCAACTTTTTACAAAATATTCTATAAAATATATATGAAATACGTTTATATTGAGATCCAGATGAAGTGAGGAACTTAAATATTATTTCATTCATTTTAACAACACAGTCTTTACTATAACCAAAACTGCCGTTACCAATATGATATAGTTTTCATAACAAAAATATAATAAATCCTTGTAATCTTTCATGATTTAATAATAAAACGATATATCACTGAACTTTATGAAAATAAATTCATTTTAATTTTAAAAAGCCACTAAATGTATGCCATCTTTTTGCCTACTGTTTAAGCTAAAGGAAACCATCACAATTGTTATTTCCTCTTTCTATCTAATATGCATCATATTACATTTTTTTAAATATGATTACTGGTAAGTTACAAGTGCATACAGAATCTGTGCAGTGGTGATGCGGGTTGTGTGAGGGGAGGTGGTTTGGTGCGGTAGGGTGGTGTTTATGGGGTCCTAGGAGATTACGCACTTGCCCAGCTCGCGCGGCGTGTCGTTGGTCCACTGTTGCGGGAAGGCGGCCTTGCTCTGCGTGCGGTCCGCCTCCACCAGCTCGCCGATCTTGTATTGCTGCATCAGCGACCTGCGCCACACATTAACATAATATCAACACAACTATCTAAGGAACACCACTTCCAATCATTCCAACTGCAATGCTTTTATTTTGAGAACGTCAACTCCAAAACTAAAGGGATATCGTCAACATTAAGTCGCAGTGATTTAGTTAGACTTAAATAACTGCACTCGAATTGTAATGCTCCTATCATGTTTCATTTTAACTCAAAACATGTGTAATTGATCATTGTATTATAGTACAGCGTAGATAGCGGCCGGCCTTGACGCCTGACACCTCCCCTTCGTCCCCTCGCCCCCTCGCTTTGCTTCACTGAGTGAATCGTTACATTTATCTCATCTTATATTATTAATAACATGACAAATGCATCGATATGTAAATAACCAATAGATGTTATACTAAGAAGTGTCACCTGGCGTCGGAGCTGTGGCTGACATCCTCGAAGGGGTCGGTGCCGTCCTGCCCCGCACGCTCCAGCAGCACCTCCTCGCCGCCGGGATGCTGCCGACAGACATAGGTAACACATCTCGCATCACAGTCAACTCCGCTGCCTCTCTACGAGACCTAGTTATTCTCTCACCAACCAGCGATGTTGTACTGCCAATTTGTGGTTAAGTCGTGTCTGTTGTATGCAGCTTCAACCTCCATCAACGGTGTCGTCGATGGAAGTCTGTAGAATTTGTAGAATCGACGACAACTTCCGATACGTCATAATATGTACCTATTCATTCCTTCACTACGTTATATATGCGTATTCTAGTAGCGACATCGTCGATCGAATGTTACTTTGTCTCCGGACTCAAATTTGTAATATTAATAAATAAAATCATATTCCAAAATACAAAGTACATATACCGGTAATACCGGTCTAGCTGTTTCTTATCGTAGGCAATTATCTGCATATCTGTTTACACTGAAACCACATGCACCTTGTTATCAATTGGTACCCCGCGTAGAGGTTGTTAGTCTTGACAAATATTCAATAAGCAACAACATTATGGTATGATTATCTTTTTGTATATGGGCTACAAGTAGTTCCGCCGCCGAGGGTTAAATAAATAGGTCTGTAAATAGAACATGAAATAGAACATTTGTCCTTCCAAATTATTCACAACAGCATGGCTATCTGATTGTCTCTTAAAATATACATTAAATTGATAAGTTACGTTCACGTCAATTGGCAATGGTGTCATTAGTGGTTATACAAATTAGTTTAGTTAAACAATGATAACCCATGTTACATATTATAAAACAAGCCGTGTTATATAAGCTAGGTCAGATAGCCCCCGTACCATGGGGGTTATCAGGGGCACTAGAGAATAAATGGATTGTATCACTTCACACCAGTGCCACTGTCGTTTGACTCACGACATTCTTAGGACCTACAGTACTGAAAAAGCCAATAATCAACATGAGACAATATTCACCTCATATCACTCTGATTCTGAATCCAATACACATGTACAATGTAATACAATGACGCGTGTATAGTACAACTGTTGAAGGAGCAACTTTACAATGGTAATATAATTATGTACGCGACGTATTGCGTACGGAATAAATGAATGAGTTCGCCTTCGCTCCGAGCTGCGAGCGTCGCATTTTTATAGAGTTTGTGCACTTCGCACCCGACTCACTGATTACGTATATTGTTATCGCTTCGTATTGGAAAACTGAATACATTATAAACACTTTTTTATGGAAAATACAAGGATGTTATTACCACTCAACTAAACTCCTAACTAACCTATCCTTTAAAATCAACATAAAAGGAACCATCCCTTTAATCAGGGTAACATCAGGGCCTTATCATTGTTTTGTACCTACATATTGGAAGTTGGTTGGCGCCGCGAGTAACATAGCTGTTATGATCAGTTTCAACACTTCGTATTAAGAGATACAAAGAGGCGCGGCATCGTCACTTTGTAGCAATTGTATTTCCTAAGAACATGGCCGTGACGAACGATGGGAGCGTCGCGTGGTGGGAGTCTCAAGTTTATATAAATAAATAAAAAACGACTAGTCATTGTACGTAAATGTTTTATATAACCACTTAAAATTGTTTTTAATTAAATATATTATTACATATTTATTACTGTACTAATATTTCTTTTAACCATTTTAATTAAGCTGCTACACTCGTGTTACGATATTTGGCAGGTTTGGAACACTCGTTTAGATGCCATAAAATGAGATTCTCTTTGACTATTCTATATTTTGTAAGCGCACGTAATATCTAGTGAATACCGACATGGCATACTATTGAGAATCCAATAAAGCGAGAGAGGGGGCGAGAGGGGGGGGGGCGTGGTGCGGGAGGAGACGGAATGCGGTGGCAATGGAATCTTTCATTAACTTTTATCGGAATTTGGCGCTGGCATGCGGAATGCTGAAGATGACACTCCTCCAATGAGGAGTAATGGGGTGACGGAATTCAATATTGCATTCCTCATGTGAGATGCAATGATCAAAGCCTTGTAGAGTATATTGCACTGTCAAAAGACATACATATTTTGTATGGATATCACATACTACATTAAACAATACAATTATTAAGGACATTTCTGTATACATACTATATTTTTCGTGGTAATGCTATATATTAATCAATTGGATAACACAATGTACATTTTGTTATCTATACATTTTCGTTTTTGTAGATAAAATAAGTTCAAAGGCTTAAATAGATATGATTTAATAAAAGCAACATTTATATTTATAGATTGCCAGCACTAAACTAAAGCTATGTATAAAAACTTCAAAATCTGTTTTATGTGTATCAAGTTGATGATGAATTTTGTTCAAACTAATAAGTTTTGTAACAAATGTGCTATCAGTGATCTTTATTTATTGATAAGGGTCCTCCAAAGCAATGATGTACTCCAAATTACATGCATAATTAAAAAATTCATAGTGGGTTAGAAATCATGCTGCGATCCAATGGTCATACTGATGGCTTTAGCTGTTACAATCAAACTTTAAAACATTTTTATGTATAATATAATCAGTATTAACAACTTTACAAAATTAATTCTTAGCGAGGGAAAATAATAATTATTAAGAGAGTTAATTATTATATTTACTACATCGATTGATTTGTTACAGTTTTCCGTTTTAATGTGTGTAATTTATTTCATACCCTAGGAATTGTAGAAGTTAAGTTAGGTTGCAGGTAGTGAAGAACAACTTTTATACACGAGCGGTCGTTAACCTATTATAAGGAGTTTGTGGTTCGTGTTCGTGTTAATGTAAATGTAAACGCATGATTGAATATGAAATTAACACAACATGGCCAAAGTGCCGACTCACCTCTTCAAGAAACTTTGTCACATCATAGACACCGTTGTGGATAATGAGGATCGCGTCTTCCCGTGTATTGCGGCATTTGAGTTCCTCCCGAGTAAACAATTTGATTTCTTGTTCCATTTTTTAATAAATTACCGGCCTAGGTAATAGCGTTCACTTCGCGGTGAACAATTCGAACTCAAAGTAAGAGGAACTGATAAGAACTTTTTACTTGACTGGCGGATCTGCCAACCGAAACCTACTGTGACGGGTGTGGTGACATACGGCGAGGATTGCCTGACAGCTGACATTGACAACTCACCTCACAAGTAAAATGCATAGACATTAAGAGGATTTTTCACAGATTACAATATGTTTCCTCGTGGCATAAAAATAATGAGACAGGCCACTTTTTATATACTCTTTGCACTTTACTACTTGCTGCAGGTATAATCCGACAAACATAATAACGGGCCAAATGCGAGAGGCTAACATAATTTATACTATGAAGATGTAGATCCAAAAATTTATTACATTAGATTCTTACGAGGTACAAGATAGTAACCTGTCACTGTTTTGTATCACTTTGTCTCTTTAAATATTGATATATTAAATATGTATATGAAAAAATGAAAGTAAATTAGATATTTTAAGATATATTTCTTCTACAAGTACCTAAAACAAAATGATTCCTACATTCTATCACGTTAGACAACCAAGCTAAACTTTAACTGTAGTAGCCTCTTGAACTTCCTTCTGCTTGTGGGTGCCATCACAAAATGGACGATTTTTAGTCTGTTTACAGTTGCACAGCCAGTACTCCTTTGTTTTATCAACCTTAAACCTGATGGGCCTAGAAAAAAAGATATATTATGTATAATTAAATACTCTTTCGTTTCCAAATCAAAAGTTTTAAAAATAGTTATAACCGTTGTGTAATTTTTAAAAAGACGTCCTTGTGAGTGCCATCGCACAGTGGCTGTGATTTGGAGCGGCCACATAAACACCAGTGGTAGGTCTTCCCTTCCTCCAAGGTTAGCTTGAAGGGTTTGCGGTCATAAACAATTCCATTGTCTTTTTGATTATCAGCAGAGTACACAGATGCTAATGGATTTTTAGGAATTTCTGGCTTTGGTGCTTTTGTCACATAATTAGTCTGTGTCAACTGTAAAATAGAATAAAGGTTCTTGATTACAAGCGTACCAATGATAGTAAAAGTGGTTTATGCATATGTTTATCGAAATAGTGCAAATTTTATTTCCTTGTACTGTCACAAAGATTTTAGGGTTTATGAAATTAAAAAAAAAGGTTAAGAGTTAATTATAGTAGTAATTATTACAATTAGTTTAGTTATTATTTTTGTTACTCAGATTCTTACACAAAAAATTAAATAAACAAAAGGGATACTACTACTACTACTAATCTACAGGTTGAATAATAATGGTAAATGACAAAAATTATATCCATTTCAGACTAACCTGTTTACTTACTAATCTAAGTGAATGAGTAATTACTCTGCTACTCCTCTTCGCAAACATTGTAGTTTTATTTGTGAAATTTTTTTAAATTCGAATTAACTCATTACTACTATCAATACTAGAAAAAAAATTATAATCGTTTATATAGAAATTAAAACAAACGTCACTTGATTTGACTTTTATAGCTAAATTGTGCCAGCCACACAGAGTATATAAAAAGCTGACAATAAGCGCCATAGCGCCATCATGTCGTCGTCAACAAAACTTTTTTTTTGTCGGGCGTAAAGTACACATGTATCTCATACTAATTTTATAAATTGTTTAGATGTACCTTTTTACTATGTCATAATTGTAGTAAAGTTTATGAAAAGAGAAGTAGTAGGGTTAGTTAGTTTTCTGGTTTTCGGTTTCCGTAAAGTCATCGACAAAGTGGCTCCCACCAGCCGTAAACAAAGAATAAAGTGATAAAAGTAACTTGATATTATGATACTACTACACTGACACTGACGTTTCTTTTTTTATTTTTCTCATGTTTTTCGCTTTTGATTGTTTTAATTTTTATAGTTTTTGAATAATGATTAAGGTTATTGATATATTATAAGTTAAATAAAAAAAATCGTGTGTTATATTTTTAATCATGAAATATGAAACTGCTTTGGCTTAATAATGTCCCGAATAAGAGGAATTGAGACAAAACACAAAGTACAGAAAGATGTGTTCCAAAATCAACAAGGGTTTAAAAACGGTTGCTCTAATGCGATTAGAAAGAAAAGCGATGACGAGACATTTGATAAAGACGATGTGGAGAGTGAGTAATTACATATATTTGGTTAATTTTCATTAAGCACTATAACAATGTGTAAAATTACTTTCTTTTACAACTTGTACATATCTTTTAAAGATTGAATGAGATTTACCTTGGCATTTGTTAGCTAATTGTGAATTAGTTTGAAACATTATGATCTAGAACAACAGATAGATGAGCTGTTGCACAAACTTCCGGCTTTGGATGAGATATTTGAAGTCCACCGCAAGATTGGGGAGGGAACATTCAGTTCAGTGTACTTGGGCTCCCTGCGCCGACACTCCACATTGCCGGCCGCCGACCGTCGCTGGTTCGCCATCAAGCACCTAGTGCCCACTGCACATCCTGCCCGCATAGAGCATGAGTTGCGATGCCTACAAGATATAGGGTAAATACCACTTTTTTCATGGAATAATGCTTAGAGCATTGTTACATGACAAGTTTTGATTATTTATTAGGAATATTGGTTTTCAATTTAAACAGTACAGTAGTATTTTGCAATGAATAAAAGTTTTAAAGTGTAGTGTGTAATGACCTTTATGTGCTTTCAGTGGTAAGCACAATGTAATCGGTGTGGATCTCTGCCTGCGCCACCTCGACACTATTGTGTTTATTATGCCTTATATACCTCACAGGAAGTTCTCGGTAAGCAAACATTCATGAAAAGATTAGTAGTTTAAATAAAAAAAGAACTATATATATTTATGCGCCACTCATCCTAGGCTTGACTATATTCATAAATAGATTAATTTAGAATGGGGTGTTGTGTTGTGTTGTAGGAGTATGTGGGTGAAATGGACTGGGGGGAGCTGCGGCGGTACATGCGCGCGCTGCTGGAGGCTCTGCGCCACGTGCACTCGTTCGGCATCATCCATCGCGACGTCAAGCCCAGCAACTTCCTCTACGACAGGGAGAACAAGAGGTCACCCATCTCTGCGACCGCTTAGCTGCACATGCCTCCTGAGGCATAGATTATATTTTATATTGCTTGATAGATACTTGCTGGTTGACTTTGGATTGGCGCAGCGCGTGTGCGTGTCGCCCGACGAGCCGGGCGCGCCCAGCTCCGCCCTCGACCCCGCCCCCGCACCCGCGCACGCACACTCCAACAAACGCACAAGGGAGCAACTAGAGGTAAATGTTACTCTATATCTATTTAAATGTGTTGCAACAAGGTGCATGCACTTATATGATAATCACACACATTTTTGTTCGCAGGACGATTCGTCACCAGGAGCAAAAAGAATGGCCCTCGATCTCACGGTGGAGTCTAAGACGGTCAACGTCACCACCGACCTTCCTAAGAAAGTAACGGGACCTTCGAAGGTCCAGATACCGAAAGCTGTGGCTCTAAAGGTAAAGATATTATAAATAGTGAGCGATGTGTAATGTGTGTCGTGTGCGGAGTTGCGGGAGGGCGCGAGTGACGCGGTGTCGGTGCAGAGGGAGGCGGCGGCGTGCGGGTGCGGGTGTGCGGGCGTGGGCGGGGTGTGTGCGGGCGGCGGGTGCGCGACGCGGCCGGTGGCGCGGGCTCCGCGGGCCGGCACGCAGGGCTTCCGCCCGCCCGAGGTGCTGCTCAAATGGCCGCGGCAGAGCGCCGCCGTCGACATGTGGGCCGCCGGCGTCGTGCTCGCCACCGTACTCCTCAACAGGTGCGGTTCGGTGTGCGATCGACCATCGTACACGCGTTTGTGTCATTTCAAATTAGCTTCAAATATTATTTCTCGGCTCAGTTGATAAATAGGCTTAAACATTTTTTTTTTAAATGGTTACTAGTCAATTGGAGTAACAAGTGTTCGGCGCAGGTACCCGCTGTTCCGCGCGGCGGACGACGTGTCCGCGCTGGCGGAGCTGACGGAGCTGGTGGGCACGGCGGCGGTGCAGCGCGCCGCGCAACACCTCGGTATGTGTCGTCTTGTCGTGACGTGACTCACGTGACACACGTGACACTTGCCACCTCATACATACATACATGCCAGGTCGGCGCGTGGTGACGTCGGTGCGGCGGCCGGGCATGTGCCTGCGCAAGCTGAGCGCGCACTTGCGCGGCGCAGCCCCGCCCCCAGCCCCCGCCGCCCCGCCCTGCGCGCGCTGCCGCCGCCCCGCCGCCCGCTGCCTCTGCCCCGACGAGAACGTACCGGTACGCCATCGGACTTCTCTTCTATGCTATAAAACGAATATTATCTACGGCTCGTTATATTTGCGATGCTCATGGAACATAGAAACAAAAACAAGATCCGTGAGCTGATCGCATACATAACATTTTTTGTTAGGTTAAATATAAAAGTATTTGAGGATGATGCATGTAAATAGAATGTGTGGGACCGCAGGCGAGCAGCTTCGAGGTGGACAAGTGGGTGGCGGGCTTCCCGGACAGCGCCTTCGCCCTCGCCGCGCGCCTGCTGGAGCCCGCCCCCGCGCACCGCCCCTCCGCCGCCGCCGCCCTGCGCCACGCCTTCCTCGCAGACCCCGCCCCCGCCACCACCACCACCACCATCTGACCACCCTCACGTGCCGCGCTTTCATACAACAATCGTTCCTATTATTCTAAGATACATTTAAACAGGAAATGTTGTCTGCAGCGAGCTGTATATCAGGCAAGGCTATTTTTAATACATATAATTATTTTGTTATTTATTGCCTTATCAAGTTACCGAATAATTGTAAGTAAAGTCGCCACCGAAAATATAACGTATTAGATATATTGTCGGTGTCGACAGTGAGTTACACGAGCACACGAAGCGCTGCGCTTGTTGGGGAGTGCAGTACTCCACTGTCGATGCGGCGAGTGCATGTCCTTTATGTTGCCTTTTTTTACAAAGGAAATATAGTATTTATAAGTAGAGCTGGAGGCCGAGGCGGGATGCTGCAGCGAGAGCTCCGCTCCGCTGACCTCACTCGTTCACTTAGCTATTATTTAAGTGAATACGCACAATTGCTTTTATGTCTCGTGGCGGATCATATTTGTAAAACGGCTTCGAAATGTAATTAATTTGTAGGGAAATTGTGATTAAAATGTGGAAGCGAGTGAATGAAGTAGCTGCGAGCGGAGTCAGGCGTCACACATTACATCGACACCTATTATTTTACACCAAAATACCTATACTTTTGTAGCATTTTATATGTGGAAGTGGAAGGAAGATGGCGCAGGTGACGTCCTCAGCTCGGAGCTGTTGTATGCGCGTCTTGTTCTCTTTACATCAGAAGAATCGAGAAGTTTTTTTTCAGTTTGGCAATTGCAGTCTTGTTGTTGTTGTACTAGATAAGTTTGGAGCGAAGGCGAAGGCGAAGGGAAACAAGTTTGTACAAAGTGCCTTGAAATATTGTGTTCATTGGGTGTTGTGTTACCTCATTGTTAAAGTTCTGTGATGAAATAAATTAAGATATTGCATATTCAATGTTTTATATTTATTTAATTCAAGTGCCGGTTATGAAAATAGTTAATTTAACAAACAAGAGAAGACACTTTGCGACCCTGTTCATTGCAAATCTAATAATGCTACAAAATTCAAGCACACTCAAAGAGCAGAAGATGATCCCGGTCAAAATGCATTTGTCATCTCTCATACATACATACATACATACATACATGCGTGCGGAATACCTTGTGGGTGAATGGAATAAAAATCAATTAACACTTGCAATAAAAAAGATCACAAATAGAAAAAAACATTTTATTGTAAAAATATATCTATGTAAGCAGTCTTGAAGAACATAAATATTATGCCAGCAATGCGGTGTGGGGGTGTGAGGGTGCGGGGGTTGGAGGCGGTCAGGCACAAGTACTATTGAAATATAACATGTTCAATATAATTTGATAACAATGTGCACCGTGTACCGTGCACTGTTTGGTCGCTACAAGTTTTATAAATCTTCAAATCCAATAAAAATACATTTCAATAATTCAGCAACAATATTGTATGTAAACATCTTCAAGTAACATGTGTACAATGTATTGTCATTGCAGTAAATGCAGGGCAATGCCGGCAGGATCACTTCACTCACACACCACAATATTAAATGTATTAACAATTTCCCCTCCACAACATGGACACAGGACAATGAGTAGCCAATCTCTGATATTTGCTTACACCGATCCTGCCACCCGTATTAGTCTAATTACTTTTTTTATCACTTTCTAACTTAAAATAAATATATTTAAAAGGAAATCTAATGACACATGTCATCTAGTAAATTTCCTTCTTCAGCTCCATGTGAAGCACATCTCTATGTCCACCAAATCTGTGCTTTTATTTTTCACTCCGTTTATGACATCCACACAAAATAAAACAAATTACACAAAATTGTCTGTCCACTAATACAAGGTTCATTTGCAGTGGTGAGATTAATTCTTCCAGAAGTTTGGATTCTGCTGCAGCCTGCGCTCAAAGTTTTGGTACCAGGTGTGCAGAGTGTTGAGAGGGATGTAGGAGACGCCCGGCGTCGGCGTCATCTGGTCCTGAGTCACGGAGAACGACGCCACAAAGTTCACAAGATTCTCCAACATCTTTTGTGCAAATGTTACATACTGATTTGTTTCCGCCGCCTGAAACATTACAAGTAATAAATAACTTGAGGTTTCAAGCCTGCAGCCTGTTGTTGCCCGCCCTCACAATGCCACTTCCTAAACATCACCAAGAAAGTATAAAACTAGTATCAGTCCCCTCTTGCAGTTGAATAGAATAATTTATATTTTGTTGAGCTTAGCAGAAGTTTGTTTATTTATTACATTCAGTAATTAATTTATTTCAAGTGATGCAAATAATGATGTTAGTTTCTATGAATTAAAGATTTGTGTCAAAGCCTTTAATTATATAGCAATGTTATTGAACAAATAAGAAATGCACAATAAGCACTCACCACAGATGAGGCGAGCAACTCAACATTTGACTCTGGTTCAATGGATATTCCTATCTGAGCATAGTTGCAGATCTGTTGCTGTCCAAATGCACCGCCTATTTTGTTTTCCGCTGAAACATACATACACATTATTCTTTTTTCATTAACATAATATGTAATAAGTTTGGTCAAAAAATATATTTTATTACTTTTTATCATATCATTTTAATCCCAAAAAATACTCTTGCTAATTTAGTGAACTTCTAAAAAGAAACTTGAATATGAAATGTAAAGTGAAATGAAGAAAATGGAGGAAGTAAGAGCTTGTTGGCAGCAGCTTGGAGCCAATCAATGCATTTACCAGACAATTCGTGGAGCTTCTTGAGGTTGGATATTTTAAATATGGCAGAGGGCTTTGCGTTTGAGATGTGCCCGAGCAGTTGCCAGCTGGGCGGTGCCGCGGGGTCGGGCCAGCTCCAGTATACCATGCCCGCGGTACCCGCCGGCAGCGGCGCCACTCCCGTCAGGAACACCGCCGCGTGGTTGATCGACTCTGTCTCCGGAATTGTTATGATAAACGTTGTCTCTGTCAGCGGCGTAAAATCTGTTTGTACCTGAAAATTTTAACATAACATGTTTTATCAGCAAATGATATTCTGTTTTTCAAACGTTGTGCAAAATATCGACCGTTAGTAAATTATTTCCCTTTCAATTATTGCGTATATACAGTAAATTAACAAACATGTTATTCTAACCTTCTACGACCGAAATTGACAAAAATTTAACGCGTTAAGAAATAAAATTGGCTTACCAGTCGTCCCGATACAATTAAACCAAAAACGTTAGACATTGTGTATGTTACAAAATTAAAAATATACTTAAAATTAATTATTATGTACACAAACACTAAATGACAGTTGCGTTATTTTTCTTAAAATTCTACTTCATTCTAGAAAGATGCTCATGTCATGTCAATGTCATATGTTATATTGCTATTCAATGTTGCCAATAATGTTGCTCATGCTACTTTGTTGCCTTTTACCACAAATTAGGAACCATGGTAAAAAAAATATAGGTGAGAAACGCTTCGCTCTGTTAATGGACTAAGAGGCAGAAAACTCCATAAAAGAAAATAAAAATAGATTTAGACCGACAAGCAGATGTGACCCGGTGGGCAATGGGCATAGGTCAAAAAGTAAAACTAAATTATGACACTTGCCACTTGCACTCACTAGCGCCCCTTGTCAACGTGTCACGTGTGCAAAAGTCTTTCAAGATCCTAGTACTCTAGCTGTCCTATATTTTTTTAAAGCGTTTTCTTACCCTAAAGTTGGTTCTGCTATCACAAGGTGGCAAACAACCTCGCGGCCACCTGAATTGGTATCCGCAATTGCAGATGGATTACTTACCTTTAATGGACGGAGATTGGAATGCACAAAAAGAGAAAGAGAATATTTCTCCTTCCTAAGTCTTTCCGGCTTAAAAGAAAAGAATAGGAACGGAAATAGGATCTAAGTTATTCCTCCGGCAATCACACTCTCTAGATAAACCTCGAAATTGCTACCAATTTACCACTTCAGGCCTATTTATGGCGTAGTCATGGTATTTCAGCGTTCGCCCCGCCTTTTCGGGGTTTCCTCTTCATAAAATCTATCAAAAATTGCATCTTAATTGTCAGACTCAAAATTGCATCGTTCTGCTTGCAGATAAAACAATTAATTGTTTTATTTATGTAACGTGTTATGTTTGTAACTTGGCTTTTAGCATCCTTAATTAATTTTTTTATATATAGTTTTCTGTATATGTGAGTATGTTGCTAAGACAAGGTTCCATTATTATTACTTTGGAAAAAAGAAATGCAACAAAATTTTTCTTTTGTACTGAAGTACGAGTATGTGCCCTTGAAACGTATTGTTTGGCACTGTTGTCGATATTCACAATCCGCAAGAATATAAAAACATGTGACGATGTTGTGGGTTTTTTACATAACATAGTTTAGCAAATCAGAATGTATATACTATTATTTATTCAATCACAAATATAAGTTGAAAGACTTGTTTTGCTTACTTTATTTGCTCAAATATTTAAATTTCTGAACATATAGGTGATCAACAAATCTTCCAGACCACATTTTGTTGTGAAGTCTCCCGTCATTTTTAAGCGGCTCTGCGACTGCGCTCTCCTTGAAATAGTAATTTCAATTGTGATTTGCCAGCGGCAAGAAAAGCGACATAATATTTAATATATATATATATATAAGCGACATAATAGTTAACAGTGGTAGAGCCCGCTTTAACATCTTCGCACGATTTAGCCCGGTGAAATACCACGACCACACAGAAGACAGGCGTGAAGTGGAAGCAATTCCGCGTTTCGTCTGATGAGTGTTCGTCCCGGAGGCCTAATTTAGTCCTCTTTCCCTTCCCACCTTTTTCTTATAAGGAAAGGATGGGAAGTGGAAGTGGACTTTCCGGATGAGAGGATGCATAGAAAGGGAATATATTTTCTTTCTCTGCATCCTATCCTGCGTCGATTAAAGGTGGGCAACGCATATGCAATTGCGTATGTCTATGGGCAACGGTCACTTCGCTATATTAGCGATTTCAGGTGGCCGCTCGCTCGTTTGCCACTTTATGGTATAAAAAAAATAATGCACAAAGTATTTTTTAATAATAATACTAATTAAAAATGCACGTTTTTAGTTATTTTAAAATCAAAGATCAATGAAACATTATGATTATTTATTGATTTTATATAATTAATAATGACTCAACAATTTTCTAAAGCATTACTAATAAAAAATATGTATATAAAGCAACATTATTGTTGTTTGAAAATTGAGCAGATGCTCCATAAACTTAAAACTTTAAAACAAGCATAAAATTTACAACAGGGTCACTAACAATTTTATATTTAAATAAGTAAATAGAAAAAAGTTTAAATGCAGTTGTCTCAGAGAGCAGACTGATAAGATATAAGCTGTGAGTAGTGAGCATAGGAATGATAAGCCGGGGCAACGCAAATAATATTTGATAAAGTTAGTTGTGGCAGGGAGCCCGCTGTAGCTCTTTGTGTCACTGTGGCACTGGATGCTTCAGAAATGGCAGCAATTACATAAATGAAACTGACATCAATGATTCTATAACGCAAGGTAACAATTAAATCTTATTTAATGTAATTGTATAACGCATTTTTGTCTACTCAACATGTTGGCTAATGTAATAATTTAAATATATGTTATTGAAGTTGTAACAACAGTGCTACTGATTATGGTTACTTGGTATATGTATTTTGCTTACTATAGTATTTCTACACCTATTATTGTTTGAAACTTAAGCTATGGTTTTATTATTGTACTCCAAGTAGCATAGTGGATGAGCATAAATATTATAACTCAATGCTTAATCTCTCATGTAAGGGTAGTCAATCTCCCTAAGAGGAACAAATGTCTCCTTGATGGACTGGGGTGAGGTCCAGCGCATGACATAATTGGGTCCCCCAGCCTTGTCATTAGTGCCAGACATTCGGCCACCACCGAATGGCTGTTGACCGACAACTGAGCCGGTAGACTTATCGTTGATGTAGAAGTTGCCAGCTGTCGTCTTCAATTCCTCCAGCGCTGTTTGCTGGAAGCTCTTATCATTTGAAAATACAGCTCCAGTTAGAGCAAATTTAGTAGATGAGCCGACTAAGGAAAGGGCCTTCATAACATCACAATCTTCATATACATATATTGTTAGGACAGGGCCAAAAATTTCTTCCGTCATCAGCTTGTCATGGGGATCAACTGTCTCGATAATAGTTGGCTGGACAAAATAGCCTTTACTGTCATCGTACTCCCCACCACCCAAAATCTTATTCTTTGCATTGTTCTTTGCACCTTTGATGTAACCGGTAATTCTGTGAAAAGCCTTGTTGTCAATTACAGCACCAGTAAATATAGAGAAATCATTTGGATCTCCAACTTTCAATTTGGATCTCTCCTCCAGTAAGCCTTGTTTAATCGGTTCATACAAGGATCTGGGAATATACATTCTGGAGCAAGCGGAGCATTTCTGCCCGCAATACTCAAATGCTGAACGGATTGTGGCAGTAACAACGGACCTTGTGTCTGCACTTGGATGAATAAAATGATAATTTTTTCCTCCACATTCACCTATCAGTCTTGGATAGTTTTTGTAACGGTTGAGGTTTTTTCCTACTTCATTCCATAGCCAATTGAAAGTTGGTACAGAACCAGTAAAATTAACACCGGCGAGGTCAGGTGCTGAAGTAATTGTGCGCCCAAAGGTTGGCCCATCAGCAGGTACAAAGTTAACAACGCCGGCCGGTAAGCCTGCCTCTCTCATAATGTTGAATATCCTCCAGTTAGAAAGCAGAGCTGTATCTGATGGTTTCCACAGGACACCGTTACCCATTAGGGCAGGGGTGTAAGCTAAATTGCCTCCAATGGCAGTGAAATTAAATGGGCTGATAGCTGCAATGAACCCATCAATTCCTCTGAACCTCATACTGTTTCTGGTTATTGTAGGGTTTTCAGAAATCGGCTGATATTTTGCATTTTCTTTAAGGAAGAACACATTGAATCTGAAGAAATCAATGAGTTCTGCGGCCGAGTCAATTTCGGCTTGGACAACAGATTTGGACTGCCCAAGCATCGTTGCGGCGTTGAGGCGCTGCCGGTGTGCGCCCGCCATCATATCCGCCGCCTTCTCCCAAATACGTACGCGTTCTTCTAATGGAGTACGGTCCCATTTCTTTTGAGCGCTTACAGATACTTGTATAGCTTTTTGGATCGTTTTCTCGCCCGCATAATAGAACTTGGCCAACTTTTTGCCATGGTCGTGAGGCATCACTTGGTACTGCACTTCTCCATCTTTGATAAATTCATCCCCTATGACGATTGGCACTTCTTCGGTCACTGCCGCAGTGCGTCTTAGTTCCTCGGTCAGCTCTTTTCGCTCGGTGCTGCCCTCGCGGTAACCCAAAATTGGCTCATTTTGCACACCAAAATCTTGGAATTTAGGCAGTTCCACTACACTAGACGCGGTGCGGTGCAAGGGACGGATCCCTCGAAGATTTTTCACGCACAGCGCTGTCAGCATTGTGCTGCCGTTTAGGTATCGGCTCAAAATTTTACAATATTTTTTTAAGAATTTGTGTTAGCCTCGGCAGGTACGCGGCGACGGCGACGTTGTTACGTAAAACGAAGTTCTGACGCGACGCGGCTGCTCGCTTGCAATCGAAACTGACGGTGTGACGATCTAATACGACACAGTTAACGTAATTGCCAACTGCAGATGACCTTCGCTAATCCCCATTTTGCAGCGAATACAAAAACTGGTATAGTTATCTCAACTACAGAACCTGAACAACAAAAGTATGACAGTTCTTATTGGTGTTGCTCTAGTCCTATCGAAACCCCAAAGGTGTTTAATGGGAAAATTTAAAGCGGTAACGCAGACTATCTAGCGCACTTAAAGTTAAGTGTACACTTGACATTATTTGTTCTGAATTGATTTTTATTATTTTCAGTGGCTATGTATGTCTTCGTTTAGGTATTGATTTATCTAGTTCAGCTGTCCTAGAGCCACGGAAAACTATCGACACTTTGTAGTATCGAGTAGTACTTTACTTTCGATACCGATACGTTTTTCTTTAGGTATCGTATCGATAACATTTTATTTTAAATTACTTCTGGGCTAATAAGAAATACTATCCATACTATTTTGCTTGTTAAATTGGTATGCCGTGAGGTAGTATTTTAATAATCAAATAATTAAAAACGAAAATTAAAATATGACTTTAAGCAACATTTCTCAATACAGGAATTAGGTTTGATTTATTTGGTGAGAAGTCAATGTAACAATGTTTTAATGAAGGATCCGCTTTTTAGTAATCCATATTTTATATGTTCATCTTCTATTAAAATGTCACAAGAATTAAACTTTTTCGTCTCCTATTCCCGACTCTT